ACCTTCAGAAGGAAAGGATCTCCGACCAGTGAAGCACCTCCCGAACAATCCTCTTTCATGAGAGCGATAGGGAAGAGTTTCGGAACTACTTTTCATTATATCTACTGAGTATGCTTTACAAGCTCGTCAAGAAGATTATTTTCGCTCACATATCAAGGACACTGAATGAAGCCCAACCTGTGGAAGAATCTGCAATTTGCAGGGATTCAGCTGCGTTGATCATATCCAGACGTTTCGAGGACTATCGAGGTCTGCCGAGAGTTTAGCCTACCTCGCGTCCTATTTGCCGACTATGAGGAGGCGTTTGACAGCTTTGACCTTAATACCATACATCGCGTCGATCAAGCGGTGGACCATCTTGTGAAGTGGCCAACTGCTACAACGGTACATCACCCTCTTAGCATACCAGTTTCAATACGATCGAACCGATATCAATTGAGGATACGACACCGTGTCATGTTATCGCCTTGCAGTGGGGAGATTCCTCTCAAAACTTGTGCGGATGACATTGTCCTCCTCTCCAGGATTATCACTGAAGCAGAGAAGATGTTAGAAGAACTAAACGAAGTTGATTCTCTAATTGCAAAAATCGTTCTCTAGAACTGAGTCTTCCTCCAGTTGATTCGCAGTCTTACCCGCTTTTCAGACGTCTTTTTATGTCTATCTTAGGCGTTTGAAGAACACAGAAAACGATCAAGAAGAACTAAACAGGAGGTGAGGAACAGCTTGTATCACATTGGGCCCCTAGAGGAAGTCAGACGAGCTGGACTCACATCTCCGAGCCCATCTGTTTGATTCAACTGTTTTCCCACGCTCTGTTACACAGGAGAGACGTGGTCTGACACTGTGGCTACTTCGAAGGCTCGAACAGCCCACAAAGCGTTGGAACAACGTTTTCTGAAGAACAACCACGCACATAACATCTCGTCGGATTTCGCAGTTCAGATATGAGATCAATATCTACTTCGCAGCCCAGCGGGATACACTCCACGGTAAATTATCATTGGGCTAGTCATTGAGAAGGCCAGACGACAGATGGACACTAAGAAATTTGTCGGTCTCTCACGAAGATAAACGTTCCCGAAGGGGGCATTGGCCAGATGGGCTGACGTGTTTCGTTGTTGCCCTTGAACCAGCTGGAATTTTAGCTGGTAAATGGATTTGAACTTCGCGAGCATCGCCGCTGCAGTTTAATATCAATATCGTGGATGACGCTAGCGAGATACAGAAATGGATGGAAACTATATTGCGGTCTGCAGGAAGAGTGAAGTCAGGCCATCTAAGTAAGTAAATAAGTCGAACAACTGCCACGTTCACGGATAGGAGATCGATTTGCTTGGTTAGCACAGAATGCCCAGATAACTTTTTTCGGCACTATTTATATCTACAGGAATCCTATCGTGAGATTTCAGCACAATGTTACGAATTGATCATTATGAGGCATAACAAATTTCTTTTCAAACAAATTGTGAGTTACGACTTTCTAATGTCAACCTACCATTATCTTAGTGTCCTATCCTACACAGTATGTATGACGTTATTTTGAAGCGAACTTTTAAAATTACATAAAGAACTGCTTACTTAGATACTTAGATGACCTGTCTTCACTCGTCGTGCAGGCCACAGCATTGTTTCCATCCGTTTCTGTCTCTCGCTAGCGTCATCCACAATGTTGGTATTGAGTTGCGGTGAGGTTCGCGAGGTCCAGATCCATTACTCGTTACCAGCTGAGAATTCAGCTTGTCCATCCGTGCCACGAACACGTCAGTCCATCTGGTCGGTGGCTTCCTTCAGGGACGTTTTACTTCGCGAGATATCCATTCCAGAGTTCTTAGTGTCCATCTGTCGTCTGTCCTTCTCAATATATGGCCAGTCCATCGATGTTTTGTCTTAGAAACGTATTCCGCTGGATCGCGAAGACGGGACGTTGATCTCATATCCGAACTGCGAAGTCCGACGAGATGATGGGTGCATCGGTTGTACTTCAGAAGACGTCGTTCCAGCGCTCTGTGGTTTGTTCGGAGTGGTTTCTACGTAGCTACAATGTCAGACCACGTCTCTGCTGCGTAACAGAGCACGGGGAGAACGGTTGAATCGAACAGGTGGGCTCGGAGCTCTGGGTCCGTCAGCTGGTCTGTGGCTT